TAAAGAAATTTAACATTTTCAGGCAATGTTAGAGGAACAATAAATGTGAATTTCTATGCCTAATCTTCATGTGGTTTGCTGTATCTTTAAATAATAAGTGCTTTATTTAAAATGAGAGTGTCGAGTCAAGATTATCCAAATAAAATAAAAAACGAAATAGCACCGATAACAAACTTTCAAAAGTGATAAATAATATTCAAAAGCGAATTATTCAATAGCATTTTATTGAATTAGTGGCTTTTGAAATAAGCTTATTTATTACTTTTAAAGTTTGAAATTGGTTATATTTTTTTAGTTTTTATTTCATGATTGTTTATAGATTTTTTTTTACATAATAGGATTCACTAAAAATACAATATTAAATATATATATAAATAAAAATATTCAAAATAGTGAAAGTCTTAGAAAAGAAGATTTTGTTTATTAAGTTTCATCTTTTTTTCCAATAATTGTGTACTCATATAAAAAAAGAGGAAATAATTTATGACTGGCTCCGAAACTGTTGGACCGATTTATAAAAGTCTTATATCAATAGGAAGCTACAGAAAGAATACTAACGCGTATTATGTAGTTTCCTTGGCTATAATTTATACAGGCGAAGTCGGTCGGAAACAGCTAGATTGATAGTAATTGGTTCACAATTCAAGTAGAAATCGTTTAACATTCCTATTTTCATAAAAAACATACATACTTCTTCAACAAAGAAAATCCATCTTTCGGATTTTGAATGAATTCAAAAAACGGAAATATCTGTGAACACACATAAAAAAACATATATTGCCGCCGAACAAATTACTTCCTTTTTTGGAATTAGAAGTCGGTTAAAATTTAAAAAATGTTATAAAAGCCACAACAAATTCAAGAAACTTCTTGTGGAGTCTAGATATTTTATATTATCCAACTACAAAATGACAATATAATCAAATTTTTAAGCCCGTTTTAAAGTGACAAAATAGTCGCAGCAAAAACGCAAATCTTTCTTTAATAGTAAGGATCAAGTTGGTAGTTGCCGAAATGTATAACACTAATAATTATTTTATTTCACTTTCGATATTAACATTGTTTATTAAAATACTTACCTATAACCTACTCTTTGAACCTGACATATTCAGAATGCCTTTTGCTCTTAAAGTAATTTCAAATTTATTTCTCATCAATAATGAAGAACGTGTGCAAAAACTTAGGTATTGAGCTATCTTTCAAATTTCTCCAAACTTCTGAATAAGACGTGAGAATATAAATTAATGCAGACATTTTAGCCGACAAGTGAATAACTTGTCATATTTTAGTTATGAGTCGATCTCTCTACATACCCTCCAAGGGATGTGGCATGAATATATCGATATTTATCTTACGTTAAAACGATCTATCTTAAGTTAAAAAGCGATATCAAAAATAACTGAATTAAAAAAGTCTTCTAGCTCTGAATCTATTCGCAGTTGGTGTAACATGTCCTCCACTCCCATAAGTTCCTGTCAGCAGCCATATTTTATTTCACTGTGCTTTCATATCATCAATCCGTCTTTTTGGGGTCATCAATCAACATTTATATGGAGTAGGGAGCATTTCTTTTAGTGACACTCATGTGTTAATAAATAAATTAATATTACGTAGCTAGTTAGATTGTGTATCGTTAGGGTTGTTTTTTTCACTTCCGCAACGTTTATTAACTTATTTCTTATATAGACTCGCCGTTAACGTATAAATTTTAAAAATATTTTATTTTAAAAGTAAGTTTTGAAAACATTAACAACAATTTTGTATGTTGAGTTTCATTAAATTTGAAGTCAATAAATAAATGAATTTCAAAGTTGGTTAAGGAGCTAGCATTCAAATTGCTGATTTTATTGATTTCAAGCTTTTATTTAACTTGCCGTGTTAGATAGTTTGTGTGGGTTAAATCTTGAAAGCTAAAAATCCTATGGTTTTCGATTGAGTAGTAATTTTGTATGAATAATTATTTGATGGCATTGTAATATTAATAAATTTCATCTGATGGCACATCCGCAATGTAGCAATGCAACCAAAGCAACAGAATGGAATCGATGCAATAATTAAACGAGGCAACCTCAAAAAGTTTGAGATCGTTTCGTTTGTCGTGATAATTTGTTTGAATGAACTTTATACAGCGATTAAATTTGAGTCTGATGATGAAACTGAAAAATGAGCACGGGAATATTGTAATTAAATAATACTATCCATTAAAAGCTTAGTTACAAAAAATGTTTATCAATATTAATGCCCATGTTCTTTTGTAGACACAACAAAGAATATATCATTCGTTCTTCTATCATGATTTGTTTTTGTGATATATGAATAGTTTTACAGTGTTCAATTTTATATTGTTTCTAAGGTCACTTTCATTTTGATGTATAATCATTTTCTATAGCACTGTACTCTTCTTTTTTCAATTATCTAAAGAGTGCTTTAGTTTATATCATAGTAAAATACGTACAAAAATTGCCAGTCTCAGAACTCAAGAAGGGATTCGAACCCATAATCGTTGGTGATCAGGGCGACTACTCTTATCAATTTAACTACCCTAAATCTTATCGAGATTTACGAATTTCTTGAGCACTAATAGCTCACTCTCCTAGTGAACGCATTACATTTAATGTTTTAGAAATCTACTTTAACAGGTGATTTTTTAAATATTTATTAGAATTTGAAAAAGATTTTTATATTAGCCTTCATCCATTAATCATACAAACACATCAAGTTGGTGCGCATATCTGACGCGACTGATTTTGCAAAGTAGACAGAAAATTGAGTTCTATTGAAAACACTTCGTCTACGCAGATGTCATTTATAAACGTCCAATACCGATATCAAGGAATCCTGTCTATTCGCCCACGGATTGCTGCGACTAGACTTATTGTTGACAACTTTTGCAGATCACAAATAATATTGACGAATTGAGCTATGTTGTCAGACTACTGATTCACGGACAATTTATTTTTATACTTTCGATTAAGACGGAAATATGTCCTGATTTTACTTCTATAAGATAAATTTCAACATGATTAATAAAACATTAGAATTACTATAATTATCTTTTTTTCATTATCGATGGCAGTATATTTGTGTAACATGTAGTTTATTAGTAACACCCACGAGTACAACAAATTATCAGTGTTTATTAGATTAGCTTTGATCATACGAGCGTTATGGATAAATAAATAATAAAAAGAAAAGCAATCATATTGAAGATAATATGCAGCGTCAGTGTTATCAACAAACAAGGTTTAGAGTCAGAGTAAAATTGCGCTTAAAATGAAATTTAAAAAATCCTTTTTTTATTAAGGAGCGATTAAGCAAAGCCAAATATACACATACAGCAAAGCTGTAAAATAGCTCGGTGGTGTAGTAATAAGCGCCGCGGTCCACGATCGTTGTTGTTAAGCAACTTTCACAAGGGTCGGTCGGGAAGGGTGACCAAAAAATTATTATCTCGAGCTACTCCGTGCTTCGGAAGGCATGTTAAGTCGTTGATCTCGGCTGAATTTGCAGACGTTTGGTTGCTATACTAATCCCAACAAAAAGAGAATAAAGATAGAATAAAGTTTTTATTCCCAATCTGTTTCAAAGGATATTCAATTTTAATATTAAAGCAAATTTCATTTTAAAAGGCGCAAGGACGCTTTAATAAAATACATATGAAGCTTTTCGTGATAACTCGAAATATATGTTGAAGATTTCAACTCTGAGTAATATTATCAGATTGCTGAAAATGCTTTATTTGGAAACAGAAAAAGAAGCGATAGAAGATGTACGTGACAAAACGTTTACCACGTTCCGATATATTCTTGGAATAAATAAGAATTAAGATGTATTTTAATAACAAGTATAAAAAATATCAATTTCTGAATCACGTAATTAAAAACTCGTATAATGACATATTTATTAAAAAAAAATTATTAAATTACTTAAAAATATAACTTTACTTCAAATCTATATTATCAATGTCAAAAATATTATAATTCTTTATTTACTTGCTGTACTCGAAATGAATCGCAAAATAAGTTTTGGATCAAATACCATCCCAACTATAACATGAAATTGAATATGAGTGTTACTCGATATTTTAGAGTTGACATAGGATACTCTCAAACCCAATTTAACACGAAGTTCCCGAAGGATAGAGAAAAATATCCACCAACGGAAATAAAGTCATGGAATACGTTATTCACTTTTTTACTCAAAGCCATATAACTGTAACAACTAAATCTGCTCCGAAGGCTGCTTGAGTGGAAATTACTCATATTCAAATTAGTGACCCTTTTTATCAAGTTATTATTCCTCACGCATGATTATTATTATATGAGGAAAAATAATATTTATAACAAATATACAAAACAATTCTTTCAAAATATAATTGTGTTGTAATTATAAAAGATTTTGCGTTGCAAGTCCCTACTCCCTAGGGGCATATGGGATGTGCAACTCTCATAGTTGAGATTCTTATTAAACAAAGGCTTATTTGTGGATATATTAATAACCTGTCTCTAACTTACGGCTCAAAACAAATCAATCAACTCTGACAGTGAATGTTTCCAAATCCCGTGATTACTAACGACGAAATACTGTGCTTTGCTCACTCTTGTTTAACTTACATAATTTATAAAGTTTCGGTGTTCAGTTGTCACTGAATATATTGCCGGCTTTTAAGAGCAAACATAAATTTGGAAAATATCTTATGACATACATTTTATTACAAAGCTGTTTGATAAAATAATACTCGAGTTGATAATAATGACTCGCGACAACTATGTCACAATCAATTTATTTATTTTTTAAACTTTAGACAATTGATTTTTGAAATATCATCAATTTCATTGAATATGTTCTTTTTTCTACTCTGGCATATTAAATTACAGACAACGAAATAGTGGATAATGTATATTTTAAGTCTACAATGCCAGTAAGGCATCTACAAAGCCTGTATAGTAGACGAGATGTCTGAAAATATATTATTTTAATACTTGTGTCCAGTGATATTTTAGTGTTGCTAAAGATAAACCGTATATTACAGAGCCATAAAGTATCTAAAGATTTCTGTCAGAACAAAAGTTCAATCAATCTTTCATTTGTTTCAGGTCACTAAATAAGCTGCTCCACACGCATGACGAAACATGGAGAGCGCAGGCAACAATACCACATTATATGACGACAGTACAATTTATCCCAGTGAACTTGTATTACAGAGAAAATTTAACATTGCCAAAGATATGTTTATGAAAATCGAAGCATGGCCTATAGAGAAATGTTTAGAAATAATAAACGACACAGAAATTCATAATACAACGTTACAAGTACATACTCATAATGGTTCACAATTTATGTGCTTGGATCATGCACCCGTTCTGACAAAAAGTACAGTAATAAGAGCGAGCATACTCTCAGCTATGGCGATACTATCATTGTTTGGTAATTTAGCCACAATAATAAGTTTGAAAAGAGGCAAACGTAGTAGAGGACGAGCACGTCCCTCATGGACAGCGATATATAGTCTTATATACCAATTGAGCATAGCTGATTTACTAGTTACCGTGTTTTGCCTCGCTGGAGAGGCGGCTTGGTTGTTTGCCGTGCAGTGGTACGCAGGGAATGTAGCCTGCAAACTGTACAAATTCCTACAAATGTTTGCTCTGTATTTGAGCACCTTCATTCTCGTTCTAATTGGAGTGGACCGGTGGCTGGCCGTCAAATACCCCATGAAGAGTATGGCTACTGCCACTAGAAGCGGGAAATTGGTCATCGTAGCCTGGGTCCTCAGTTTTTTATTGAGTATTCCGCAGGTTAGTCTCATAGTCGATCTTTTTATATAATTTTAAAACGTTGTTTAACTGAGTTTAATGAGGGCTAATGTTCAACTTTATCAATTGAAGGCAATCAAAAGTTGCGCTGCCACATCAAACTGGAGTAAGTGGAATTAGGTGCAATATAAAGGTCAGCAGAGAGGTTTAACGAATACACAGTATTACACGATAATCACAAAATATTAGTTTGAATAGAATACTACATCTAATTTATTAGTTAATCATCACATAAATCATATATAGGTAAGTATTTAATTTTTTCACATAAACAAATTTCCGTTGTCGTTGAAAATATAAATTTGGGTATATTTGTGACATACATGCCATTAATTTAAAATTAATAAAAAAAAATAATAAAAAAGAACATTTTGTTATGAACTGTCTACAATTTAAAGAGGATAATTCTAATTCAATAATTTATTGACGAAAACGAAAGATGGTATAGAAATAATATAATAGAGGTGTGTGCGAATGAGTAGTTAGTAGTGAAGGTAGTCTGGTGTGAGTGACGACAGAAGTGGCATGACGTCAGCTCAAGAGGATAGCAATGTCCTCCAGCAGTCTTGAGGGGCGTAGATGATTTGATGCTCAGTCTTGAACAGGCGTAGAGTCTCCCGGAGCGTCGAGCAGGAAGTTCTTCAATAGCCCAAAACTGAGTAGCAGTTCGGGCTTCCAGGTGTCCTGAAGAAGATAGCCGCCAGTAGAGAAGGTTTCAGGGTTAGATTGCAGCTAGTGTAGAACTGAAGTTGGTAACAGTAGAGTAATTCAGTTGTCGAGTTCCAAGTTTTTACTACAAGACACTCCCTTACAAGTTTTTACTAGCGCCAGACAGCTGACATTTTACTACCGCTATCTAACGAAAAACCCTGTAAACTGAAACGTCAATAGTGATGTAGCCAGGCAACCAAACATGGGATTTGAAGCTTAGCAACGATAGATGAAAATATCCATAATTTATTTTGATCTCATTCATAGTCTATTTTATTAGATATGTTTTAGAAGAAAATTTTTCGATAATGGAAGCTTCGAAAGATAATTGTGATTGTGTTAATTGGTTCGTAAATGTTGAAATCTTGCTTGTTAGGAAGTAACTAAGAAAATGCGTTGAAAAGTACACTACATAGACAAGAACATAAAGAATAAAATATGATTGTTGAGTTGGCAATAATGCTAGTGATGTTGAAATAAAAATGTTATTATTTTATCTATGTATGTTTCATTTTTTTATTTTTTTATTTCTACAAATAAAATACATTGACATAACCTACATCGCTCTGGTATATTCACGCCATTTTATATACTTACAGGAAAAACAAGTGATTTTGTGTGATAAGTAAAGTGCAATGCAATATACAAATGCGCTCTCATTCTATTTATAACGAAAGTACTGTAGCAGTTATCTGAATTAAAAATTTCATCATACAGATAAAAAATATATAAATCTGTTATTGCTGGTTCAAAGAACTGTTTTATTTTTTATTATGGAGGCTAAACAAAAATTTTTAAAGTTGGCGAAATCTGTGGTTATGGTAGGTAGTTAATTACATAGTCTTTGGCAACAGTACCTTAATAATGTTTGAACATTATATTTTAATAAATTATGTCAAATACTTCTAATTGAAATGTATTTGGTCGAATTTCGATCACTGGGCGACCACTTGTTAGTGTAAATAGGCAAAAAAAATAGAATAAATGTTCGTAGAGGTTTTGATACATGTAAAGAAAAGCATTTATAATTTCGTTATTAAAATTTACAGCCATAGAAAGGTCAGGGTGACGAATTTTAATGGAATAAAACCCAAAGCTAAACGATATGAACAAAGTTGATGAGAGAGCATCCAAAGAAATAATGAGATGAAATGTTACTTACGACAATTAAAGGCATAAAAAAATGTATGTGTAAAGAACAAAATGAACGTTGTTGATGGTACTACGCATCATTACAGTATTATTATGTAATTAAATAGCTATTTCATCCTCGTTAGCGGTAATAGTGCCTGTGATGAAACGCTTAATGTCTTCATAAGCTAGCAAAAAAACTCCAAAATGACTTGACAGTTTCTATTTTTTTTTATTATATTAATTGAAGTCTAAGGGATTGCGAGAAAAAATAGACAAATTGGGCTAATAATTATAAGAACAACCCTTATTTGTCAACACAAAGCAGGCGGGAAGTTCACCAGCACGCGTAGCATGACGAACTCGAGAAAGTTTTGTCTACACTCAAATGTCACTTTTCTCGAGTGCGCCCATACGATATCTCAGTCTCGACTCGAGAAACTGACAAATGAGTGTAGACAAAGCGTTTCTCGGGTTTGTCATGTTACGCGTGCGTCAAATAATATGTAATGAATCTTAATAACCTTTTAGACGAAAAATTTGATAGCCTCTATTAGAAAGCCTTTATATATTCTTAATGAAATATTCTTACAAAATCCCTTACTAATGTCTCTGGTACTCTGAGATGGGACTCGAACAATTTCGCAATCCGGGTGACTGCTATAACCACTGACTTACCCAGGACCTTACTTGATTGACGAATCTTTCAAGCACTTGTTACTTTTTCGCTACTACAGAGCGATATTTTTATCAATGTTCAGGCAATCTATTTAAACATCTGAAAGAAATATTTTTATAAATATTTAAACTTTCGATAAAGATAAAAATTTGTTCTAATTAGGTATTATATTTGATAAATTTTACATTTGTAATATTTAAACAGTATTCGTTAAGAATATTCTTCAGTATAACATTGTAAATGTAAAATTGATAAAATATAATAATTACATTATTGTGTAAAAAAGGACACTATATAATCTAAGAATAAAAGCAATCGAATATATGTTCTGTCTTCCATCAATTACAGGAACGTCAATCACAAATTTATTTAAGCGAGTGAGCAAATTCCTGAATCTTATTTGAGCCTGTGATTTGAGACTTTCTTTTTATATTTAAGAATAAAGTAAATTGATTTTTTTTTTCTCCAATAATTAGTTTTGCGACGCGGTATGATATGTGAGTGTTGAGCTTTGGAAATTAAAACGAAAATTTTAGGTTTCTTACTTGACTCGTAACTTTTAGTTGTAATCGTAAGCATACACGGATACCCTAAGAAATATACGATTGTCTACTTCCATCAACTTTGCGATTTCAATTCTCTAAGGTAACCTTTTAGCGGAAAAAAGATATCTCATATATCAATCCAGGATAATACATTCCCTATTATAAATTAGACATACCAAATCCATACCAGAATTATTAAGGTGAAAACAAATATCCATAACTTCCACTTTTTTATAAATTGTCGAATCAAATCTTATATTTCAGGATTTCCGTTGGGAAATATCTGAACAAAAAAATATGTTAATCTACAAGATGGTACCTATGAGTAGCTTCTAATGACAAGCTCTGTCATCCATTAATTTTTCTTTATACGATATTTTAACCTTTGTAACTTTATTTGTATATTGCGAAGAAATTCTATTTGTATTTGTTTTATACAAGCAGAACTCAGGCCAAATACCGTAAATATTAGATGTTGATTAATATTAAATAACTTAGTCAATCATTATCACCATCAGCTTATGTTCGTCCACATATGGACATCTGCGTCCAGCACGCCATCGAACTTGATCTTCGTCTGCTCTCATCCTTCCCATTTTTTATTCTGACGGGAGTCCCTCAATACGTTTGGTTTTTTAGTTTACCAATCCCAACACTAAATAGTAAAAACAAATTATTAATAAATCGTACGAAAAGTGAGTATAATCTTCTTTTTATGTATTAAAAATCAATAAAGGTATATCTTATATTCTACGACATTGCTGTGTAGCTCATCCACCTATTTCAAGGTCCTGGGCTCGATTCCCGGTCAATATAGAGAAATTATTTTTTTTCTTTTTTTCGGGTCTCTATGTTTACACCGCCTACGTTAAGACCATTAACATTCTATACGCCATCGCATCGCGCACATAACTACGAACACTTTAACATGTACACACAATTAGATATGTGTTCTATAGACTAAACAGCAGTCGTCAGAGTAAATCCACATTTTTGCGATAACACCGTAGTATTTTATTTATCAGTTGTAGAGCTGGGTTCTTCACGAGGTAAAGTTATAAATTCCACGAATCAAACTTTTGGGTTAGGACGAACTTTTAGTTTCCACTCGTATGGATATAATGGAATAAACTGTCACCGACTTTTCGGCCCGATCAAAGCACTGGAATCGGTTATAAACAAATAAAGTTTCATGTTCCAAAATAAGAACTTTTAGAGTTTTGTATTATGTCTATCAACATGAACATGTTGATAAAAATTCATTAAATTCACATCGAATATGACATTATCTCATTATTTTCAATGATGAAATCACTTAAAACTCATATTCATAAAAATATAACGCGCATAAAGCTCCTTATTCAGTTCCTCCTCGAACGAAGTAATAAATTAGCTCTCGTAATAAGAGAAGATCCATGCTTTTACTTTATTACTTAAACTTACTTTTGATCAAGCTTAGGCGTGTGTATTTTATATATCGTGCGCTTAAACCCGTTGTTTATATTAAATGAGTAATGTACGCGGAAATAAGGAACAAGCAAACAAACTTTTAATAGGATTATTCGATTCACTTTAATCCATAGGGAAGTCGTGTTGAGCACAACTTAGTAAGGATATTGAAAGGCTGATAATAAAGCAATGTTAAGATGTCTCGGACATTACGAAATTTTATGATATGATATTGTGAGTCGCAGCTTGGTGATAACCATATGACGTGACTGAAATACTTAGTGCAAGTAACAGTTCTAATAGGGATTAAAATATTAAACAATATTAAATTAAACTAGTATTTTTTTATAGATAATCGATAAATTACGGCGATATATTGAATTTAAATATCGCAGGATGTCACACCTTTCTAAATTATCTAGGTACATAGTTGTGATGTTGCGAACCCCCACTCCTCAACCTCGATA